AATAAGGTTTGAATGGATGTAAACGCTGYCATCATCACGGAACCCATCGTACATACATGAAACAGATTTACTGGACATTATGAAATYATACCAATTACATGATCAACAAATGCTTAGGAGCAAAAAGTGTTAATTAGTAAACTAAAAGTGCATTCATTTGTGATCAGATACTGTGCTTGCTAAGATCAAATGAAGTACGTTTTACTAYGACCTTCTGCACAATAGCTCAAAAATACGGCGTAACGATATAAATACTCAATACAAATTGGTTTAGTCTTTTTTTTTTTACTTAAACACTCACATATGCACTTAGTTTCCTCCAGAAGGTCTAAAAGATAGTCAGGCTAGAAGCTTTTTCCGTAAACAGTTGGACAGTTTTGACCCAACAACTTACTCCGCCTTCAACCTCTGCACCTTACTATGGTTGCTTCTATCAAGCGTTGTTGTTGGGGTTTTTTTAAGGTGTAATCTTGTTAATTACCACTCAAATATAGTCCAACAACGACGCCATATWTTTCAGCCTTCCTTCATTGAAATATGTATGTTGTTGAGTACGTAGTTSTGGTGGGCTTTTTGAACCTCTCCCTCGAGTCATTGTTCATTGTCTGACAAAGCAGGAAGGCACGAGCATTCCTTTTGGGCCAGATTTTCTTCAAAAAATCGTCCACTTAAGTTACTCGACCTCAGATTCTTAAACTTTCGAGAGATGCTTCTGACGAAGAGCTGAACATTTAAGATGTTCAGAATCAAAGGTTAGTTTGAGAGCTTGAAACGTAAAATTAATCATGACATCCCAAAATGGCGGACTAAGAKACGTGAACAAAAGCGGGAGCACCCACCGCGGTCATATTCGACTGTAGCTCAACTACTTCAAGTTATAAGTAAGATTATTTTTAGACGTTTTACGTCCTTTGACACTAGTAGTTTCATTAAAAAAGGGTTATTTTTTGGTTTGTCGCATTGAAAGAAAACGATCCTTATCACAGMATGGACTCCCAGTTGAAATGTTGTTGTGCAAGCTTTGATCTCTCCTTTATTGGCGTTACTAMTATGATTTTCGAATATCATTGATTCAGTCAACTAAAATGGGCTCTATGTTGAAAATAGATCAAAGTTATAACGGGCTACAGGCACTTCGAAGACTCTCTCTGCCTGTCGTAAGGCTCACCAAAGCATGGCAGTTTTAAGCGTGGCAACATTAAAGGAAATCCCATTTATTCCAGGAAGTAAAAAACATTTTCCGAATAAAGTGAAAAAAATAAATAACCGATTAAATAATCTTTGCAACGTTTTATTAGTTGCTTTCTAATTCAAATAAGGCATGTTTTCAAAGTAAATGTTAAGTGATTTTAGCTCTGCCATGATCCTGATGGTAAACAAGTCATGTCATGTGCCTGTGGCAAAACAACCACCAATTAAGAATAAGTATTATTAACTTAAGACTTCAGTTGACCTCTTTTCCTGCATTAATCATCTACTGACAAGAGAATCACAACATGGTGGCCTGGAAATCACGAGGTATTGAGTACACTTGACGCGTTAAACTCTGGTTTCCTGTAGAATACCAACAGAGCTATTAAGAGCTAGAGACCTACTTCTTCACTTAAAATGATGCTGCACGCAAAAAATATAGATATAAAAGGAGTGAAGGTATAAAACTGTGTTGTTCTTCTGATTCTGTTTTTGTGTGCCGAAGAGAGTTTTCAAGTGATGTTTTTATTGTGGCTCGGATTTTGAAAGGCTYTTCTTTTTGTTCTGCCTTGAAGTGCAAGAGGTTTTGCTCTATTATTGCTTTTAATTGTAAACTGTTCTAGTTCAGTGTTAGTTTTGGTTTATATATCTGCGTTTTTTAATGCATAACGTTTCGATAAATGTTTGCGGAATGCCATTTGGTCTGAGTTACCAATTGATTCACTTTGATTCATCTCAAATCTTTTATTTCAATTCAATCTTTTCTCAAATTTCAAATTGAATTCTAAGGAGTAAATCAAACAAGGATCCTTTCTTTTAGTATACATCTAACATACAAATCCATTAAAAAGGATGGTAGACCCATATCTTCTTGCAGCCATAAACTTTGATGACAATGTTACATGCCATATATGCATTATTGCGTCATCTTACTTCCAGATTTTATATATACAGTATATACACATGTATACAGACGTTTGATGAATAATCATCTGATCAATATAGATTTTTATTCCTATTGGAGATCAGTAAAACAATTGGAACGATAATTTAGAAAATGAGCAAAGCAATCTGGTGGATGTAGTATATTACTCCATTGTGAAAATTGGAAAAAATATAGCAAAGAATTATGAGGTGCTCTGTGAAGTGACGTTTAAGCTGAGCTTTCAAAGGAAAAAGAACAATGAAACGACCCAGAGCAAAATGTGGATCCAATGAGGGTGACTATAACCTTATGCAAAGGGAACACTCTACATCCTTTCTTGTCCACTGCTATGTTAGTGCACACACGATCCTTTCCTCATCCTTGGCAATTTTGTAGCAATTTTAAAAGATCTTTGTTGGTTGTATTTTTTTTTTTTTTTTTTTTTTTTTTGTAACGTCTTTGTGTTCCCTGAAGATGACCGCTTAGGTCGAAAGCTTGGAAAGAAATTTGAAATTATTCATGGTTGATTAAACAAACTACAATTGTAGGTATAAATTTTGTAGCAATTCATTGACGAATAACAGTGTAAAAGGGGAGGTTGTACTGAGTAACACGGTAGACGGTGTTTTGCCGATTTTGCCAAGATTTTAGCCACCCGCCTTTTAGGGGCTCAGAAGTATAGAAATAGAAATAAGATAGGAAATTAAAACAGCAGCGTTGATCTGAAAAAAAAATRAATATTTTTTCTTGAGTGAGTCTTTCTGGATCCGCGCCCATTGCAATGATCTGCATATGTTAGTTGAAATACGTATTTCTTGAAATTCACCTAAAAGTTGMTAATCTTGTAAAATGCATGTGGTCCCATATCATGCAGGGTATGTTCGATTCGCGGGTGTCAAAAGTTACATGAATATTTTGAGTTCATATATTCTCTTGATTAGATTTTCAATCTGGTCATTACTCCAAGAAGGATTTACTGATTATAGAATCATTGAATGGTTTTGATTGATCGAAGAAGTGAAAAAATCAAGTTGCGAAAACATTTCCCCTGAAAAAAAAGAACTAAAAAGAACTAAAGTAACTTGTAAGCCAATTACAGAATATAAAAGACGGTTCGGCTCGAGTTGTCGTCTTTTCTCGCTTCCAAATCTCGGGTCAATATTTTTGCTATTATTCATAAGTRAATAACATTTATATAGCTGTTTCAAAAAAGGTTGTCGGATATAATGGCGAATGTCAATTGTCGAACGGAGATTGTACGACCGAAAGGAGCCATGGGTTTTGCTAATTGATGGAAAATAATAACTGATTTATACTGCAAGTGGTTAACATTGGCTCAATTTAGTCTCCATTTCTATGYMAGGTGAATCCAATAAGTGAAACTTTCTTCATCAAAACAGTGTAASCATAGTCCCTTTCGGTTGAGCAATCTCCCTTCGMCAATCGCCGTTTGCCGTTCTCCCMGAYAACGTTTTTTGAAATAACTGTATTTTTCACCTTGTATGCATATTATTTATGTTTATAAAAAGTGATCCCTTTAGAAACCCTTAGACTTAGTTATCTACACAAGAAAACAAATTAACTCCCAAAATTGCCATCAAGTKGTGTAAAGGCGGAAAAAGCAAYRGGAGAGATGGCTAGAATTTGAAAAGAAACACAGAGAGAGTTGTCTAAGTTGCATTTTACGACGAAACATGAGGTATAAGAAAARCCGATAACAAAGTTACCTTTTTGTATGCAGAGATACTATGTGTTCCAAGCGAGAAGCATGAGAAGTCAACATCATCTACGACCTTCAATTTGGTTCAAAATCACGATAAATGTTCATTTATAACGGCTCATTTATAAGGGCATTCTGTTGTGTTAATTTTATTCATTTTTTTTTTTCTTTTTGCTGCAATGTTTATACAATCAATGTCTTTCTTGCGTTCATTTGATCTAATAAATATTTGGTCGATCTCATCAAGGTGAACACAAAATTACGACCATACTGGTGATTAGTATAATGTCGCTTACCTGCTCTTATTATTAGAAAAAATAGAGTCCGGAAAGTTTCTCACTACTATAAGTTGACTCTTGTTGACTCGTGTAACTTACTCTTGAATCACTGAAAAGTGATACTCGAATCAGCTTTTGAAACAGTGAGATCCAAYCGAGCCGTAAGATACATTTGGCCGCAATTTCCTCGTAAATAATCCAAAGCAAACATAGAAAAACGACACTTCTTGACACGCTACTTTCCCTTTGAAGTGCTATTAGTAAGATTCAGAAAGATGTAAATACTGCTGAGAAAAAATGCCGTTATTCAACAAATCCCGCCAGAATTTTATTTACTGAACATCTAACTATTCAGCTAGATTGTAAAATTAATTTATTCTCTCGTCAACCAAGCGCAGAAARCTTCGTAAAAGCGGAAAAGTTGTATAATTACCTGAAAAAAATCAATCCTTAGAAAATAAGAAAATAGGTATAAACAGTAGAATATGAAAACTTTTTTAACAATGAAATCAAAACGTGCTTGAAAAATGGCGCCAAACGTTTAACGAAATATTAGTGCACTAATGCATGCATAAACGGCTCTAAAAATCACCAGACCATGCATGCATACCCTCAAGAGTGCTATAAGCTAGCCGCAACACGCACATGGAACTGTATCTAACTGTATCTTTAATAAGTCTGAAATTAAATCATTATAAGTTCTATTGCATTAAAATCAACAAACATTGGACTAAGGGTACTCGGCGTTTAAAAGATTTTTGCAAGCAAATCTTGTAATGGTTTAAAAAATCGTCAAAAATGGCGGCTAATGTTAGGCAAACCGTTAGCGCAATGGACCATAAGCGCGCTCAAATTATCAAACCATGATTTGGCGTTGCAGAATTGAGAAAACTGTCAGTCACTGCAAACATTGGTGCGATATACAGCTCCAAACGAATACTTGCCAAATTTTGCATACTTCTTACCTTTGCACAAGTTGTGGTTTAGAATTTTTYCAACCAAGTTTTCAAAAGGTCTGATAAGGTCAAAAGTAAGCAAGCAAGCATGCGACTAGCAGTTATTGGAATTTTTCTGTGCGCTCTGAGTGTGTCTGCATTCAAGAAGCGGGAAAGTACATTTGACAGCCAAAGCAGGTTTTTGGGTAGGTAGAATATTTCAATTGCCGCTAGTTTCTTTTGCACAAATCATCAGTCTACGTTTGTGGTATATATCCTCAGGGAGATTTGGAGGTGTTTGGAGATTTTGAACTGTGATATTTATACCAATTACTGCTCATTAAACGCAAAGAAATATCTCAATTAAGCAAAGTAGAGACGGTAAGCATCCAAGAATACTGACAGAGCATCAAAAATAGAATGGAACTTTTATTAAGAAATTTAGCATAAAATTTGACAATCAAGAAGATATGTTTACAATGAGTACATCAATTATCATTGACGTTTATGTGCAATCAATAAAAAAAGCGGGATTTCAGCAAAAACGGTCTAAATTGGGACATTTATTAAGACTAATGCTTACTTGTTAGTAGCTTTTCATSTAAGTTGAATGAGTCCACGCGTATTTCATTTCATTTCTTTGACGCGGATTTGCCTGCCATGAACATGTATCTGCTTATTTTTGAATGTGCAAAATCTTATTTACCGCGCATCAGTGCACTCCATACGCATCCAAAAAAAACAACATATTTTTATATATCTAAACTCGGATGCGTGTATACAGTTGAATCGACGAAATAAATTGAATGCTTGCATGCATTTAGGATATGAAGAACTGATTTAACCCGTACGAATGTCAAAATGGCGGGAAAATTGCGCGCGGGAATAACGAACACTTCTTTGAGATAAACTGTCAAATATCGGCGATTATTATTATTATTTTTTTTTTTTTGACTACGCAAGAGTTTACAAACAATTCATTAGACGTCCTCTAGGGCTCTTGCACATTCTTTTTAGTATTTTTGAGGACAGTAAATTGAATTTGCGTCTGCACGACAAAAGTCTGTTTGTCTGCCATGTTGGAAAATGATAAAGAAGCGAAATCATTGATTTACTGACATCATTTTCACATCGAAGATGTAACACTATTTAATATAAAGAAATTGTATTATTATCATTGTTATATTCATAAATGTTTTTCTTTAGCAGACGCTGATAGTAACGAAGATAGCTTATCCAAGAGATGGTTGTTCAGTTGTGGCTTGTACAATTTTTTCACTCACCGTTGCTGTGATGGCAAGAAATATGCTCGCAAGACGCACGAATGCTGTGGCAAAGAAATCATTAATAAAGTTACGCAAGGCTGCTGCGATAAAAGAGAATACGTGCGTAAAACACATGAGTGCTGTGAAAGCAAGGTTATATCCAAGGCTACGAATGGTTGCTGCGGCGGCAAATCTTACATACGTAAGACCCAGGAGTGCTGTGAGGAGAAAGTCCTAGATAGCAAAACCCACGGATGCTGCCATGGAAAACATTACGCACGTAAAACGCATGAGTGCTGCGGAAAAAACGTGATTGACATGGGAAAGCACGGTTGCTGCGGTGGAAAATCGTTCGTGCCTAAAACTCACGAGTGCTGCGGAAAGAAGGTGATTGATRTGGAAACGCAAGGCTGCTGTGGTGGGAAACCTTACTTGCGCAAAACGCATGAATGTTGCAAAGGTAAACTTCTCAATCTCGAGATCCATGGCTGCTGCAATGGTAAAGAATACTCACGAAAATCGCTAGAGTGCTGCGGCAATAAACTTATCCGTAAGTCCTTCCATAGTTGTTGCAACGGCAAGAAGTTTTTAAAAGAGGTCCAGTTGTGTTGTGATGGTGAAGTACAGTGGAGCATCTTCAATGATAAGTGCGAGTTCCAATACAAGACAAAGAACTATAACATTACTGTAAAATGCACAGTGACAATAGGATGATGATTAATGTC